GAAGGCGACGAATATCACGTTTTGTCCAGGCTTGTGGGGATGGTTGCAAGGCTCACTCACTCACTCTCAAATCCAATCCCAAACCAGAGGGGACAGTGGCTGGCTTAAAACCATGCCCCTGACTATCCGTCGCCTCTTCTTGAGGGCTCCGTTTTCCATCGTCTATCCCACAGCTGCCATGCCACAGGACAAGACAATCCTCCGCTCCAAACGGGGGGTTATGCTAGTGACCAATCCATCCATCCATCCACCATCACGGCGTAGGGAAAAAGCAGAGAATAAACAAATAGAAGAAAATAGCAAATCCCGGCACGCTTATCCCCATAGATTAAGAACATGGAGTAGCATAAAGTAAGGAAAAAACATAGGGTAGATAGATGGACTTGGTCCAATTGAATCGAATGAAAGCTTGCTTTGCTCCGACTCCTTGCTCCCGCGACCAGTAGTAACTCAACGAAGACCGTGCTTGATCGGTTGACAGGGCGGGGAGACATATTGCATCATATCATATCATATCGTATTGTATATGTATATAGATATCTATGTATCTATATACCTGACAATGGCGATTCATCACCATCGCGGAAGAAACGAGGAGGTTGGCTGTTGTTGTTGGTTGGTTGAAAGTCACGTGGGGTTTGTACCACCTGGAGCCCGGGGACTTGATGGGAGGTGAATGGGGTTTTTTCTATTTTATTTATTTAAAGAGGGGTTTAATCTGCTATTATATAGTTATATCATCAAAGGGGAATTCATTCAGTCATGCTGATGGATAAATAAATAGATAGATAGATAAATAGATGAATAGGTAGATAGATGTTTACAATGAATTCTCCAAATATATCTAAAAAGGCCCAGAAAGAAAGGAAACTGTTTCTTGATAAACTTGGTTGAATAAATAAGAAACCAATGCATGGAATGAAGCATGAGAATAGCAATGATAATAATAATAATAATAATAATAATAATAATAACCAATTTTTCTTTTAGAAAACCCCCTCCATCCTTGCCTTGCTATGAAGTAACCACTAGCAGAAACAAAATGCAGAAATATGAGGGATGGATGGATGGATGAATGGATAGATGAATAGGTAAATGCAGTCTGACTTAATTTTAAACAGGTAGAGAAAAGTAAACAAGAAAAAAGAAAAGAGAAAACAAGCGTAAAATCAAATAGATATCAATGGTTCCGCAACGAAGCGTTGGCGTGTATGCCGTGGTAGTAATATATAGATCCATCCTGTGGGAAAAGGGAAGGAAAAAAAAAAAAAAGAGATAGGTCATAACAAAAAACAAAAGCAAAAAATTGAGCAGGGAAGGGTAACGGAACTATTTACCCCAGCCAACCTTAACGCACCCCAACCAACAAAGACAAGGAAAAGACGGGAAGAAATTTGACAATGATATTAAAAAGATGACCGTTGAAGAAAGAAAGGCAACAATGGACTAAGACAACGCATGGAATGACGTATGAGAGAAGTTGGCTTCCAGGTATAATAATAACGAGAAAAAAAACACAGACAGGCTTTAAAACAAAAATCGATCAAGCAGGCGTTCCGCGGTACACCGAACAGCAAAAACACGATAGAAAATCCCATTCCAAGCAAGCAAGATCAATCAGTCGCTCCCAAAACATAGCGTATCATACCCATAAGTAAAGCAAAGCAATTCAAGTCCTATCAAGCTGTTTGCGCAACTCTGAACATGGCATAACTCATACCGAAACCTACCGCCTATCGAGACAAGAAAACGATGCCATCACCCGTCGTCATCTGCATCGCCATCGCTATCTATACTTGTGCTGGGCCGCCGTTGTGCCGCGCCAGACCCCATTCTGGCCTTCTTCCCCGATCCGCCGTGTTGGTGGTTATTACTTAGGCCCGCAGTACCCGATTTGCGCTTGGTTCCCGGTGAGGTGGTATGCGACATTGATTTGGCGCCGTGGTTGGGGATGTTTTCAATGCCCGTCGCGTTGGGCACTTCGCCCTTCTCCATCGCAGCCACCTCATCTGCAGTGAGGAAGCGCCCGCCCGGACCGCGCGGCCGACGCATTGCGTGGTTGTGGCGCGATTCGTGCAGGTAGGGCTTCCGTCCCTTGGACGTCAGACGCAGCTGCTCCTCTAGCCTCTGTCGCGCGACGCGTCGCTTGAGGATGCGGTGGAATTGTTTCGCGTTGACATAGAGAGGAGATTCTTCTGCGCCGCCGGCGACAACTTCTGGTGAAGGCTGGTTCTGTTGGGGCGGGGGAGGCTGATGATGTTGGGTGGGCGCGGACATGGAGGAGGGGCCTGGAGGGCGCTGCATAGTGTGGTTTAGGACGGGTTGGGCGTTTTGCACATGCGGAGAGCTGACTTGCTGGCTCATGCGACGTTGCTGCTGCTGTTGTTGCTGTATCGACGCGTTTTGCGACAGTTGGACTTGATTGGATAACGGAGGGACTTGGCCGGATACCTGCGGAGGTGATCGCGGATGTCGCTCATTCTTGACCTGACTGGACGACATTCGCGGCGATCCTCGCGCGCCGGGCGGTATCGCGCCGCCTATGGAGTCTTGATGCAGAGGATAGAATTGGTGCCCTGTCGCAGCGGCGGTGGCCATGGCGGCAGCAGCGGCAGCCTGGGAGATGCCGTAGGACTGTGCGAGGGGAGCATATTGTTGAGGATAGTTCATCTGCTGGTGTACCTGGCCGGGCGCGTTCTGTGATGGCGGGTAATGCGATTGCGAAGGAAGGATGGGCGAGGCTTGATGGTTTGGATGAGGATGTTGCATGTGTGCTTGCGGGTTGGTAGGCGAAGTGATGGACCCGACCGGCGGGCCAGCGTTGGCAGGCGAGGTCTGGTAAGGAGGCATGTGTGAGGACGCGTGCGGGTGTTGGCTGTGAGGTTGTTGATATTGCGGAGGGTACTCCATGATGCCGTTACTTTTATTTTTTATGTCGAGCCAGCGAACGAGGGGCTGAGAATGGCAGCGCAAGTTCTGCCTGGTAGAAACCAGCGGCAAGCCTTGGAAGCGCACCAATGGAGTGGTAGGCTTCCGTTAGAGACAGCGAATGGATCCGATCGAGGGATAGGAGAGGATGGAGTCGGACAGGATAGGGTGGGACGGAGTGGTGTTGAGAAGGGGAAGAGGGAGCAAGCGCGACACGATGATTCGATATGGCCGGGATGGGGAATCTGCAGCCTCTTCGGTCGCGTCAGCACCTAATGCAGCAAAGGGGTGGTCACTGGATTTAGGGTGAAGATGGGAGAGGGCGAACAGACCAATGCCAGCGGTCGGCGCCAAAACGGGCGGCAGTGCACAGTCAACAAGAGACGGTGAGAGCAGAGCAGCAAACCTGACGCGACGGAGACGGGGTTCAAGACGAAAGACGGGAGGAATTAAAAAACAAGGTAAACGGAGCCTTTTGAGTGAGGGTTGAACAGCGCAATCGCAGGGCAGACGTGGTTGGGCTCTGATGCAGCAAACCGGGGGAAGGGTAAGGTGGGTGACAAGAGCGCGTTGATGTGTTGTCAAACAGCGGTCGGGTTTGTTTTCGTTTCGTTTCTTTTTCCTATTTTTTCCTGGGCAGTCCTTTTTAGGGCGGTACGCTTGTTTTTACTTTTAGAGTGGGGGGGGGAAGCGGTGTTCTCGTTCTCAGGCGTGTGTGTGGCAATGAGATGAGGGAATAAGCAGGGAAATGGCCAAAAGCCGGAAAGGCGAAAAAAGGGCAAAAAATAGAACAATTGACAGCCAGCGCAGGAGGCTGCAGTTCGTGTTTGAGCGCAGCGAGCACAGGTGAGTTTTTAGTGTCTGCCACGTCGTAGGTCAGATCCGAGGCGGTGCCCAAAGCTGGGAATTGGAACCGGGTAATTTCTGGGGTCAAGATGGGTTGTCGGGACTGCCAAGTAGCACCAGGTCGAGGATGGAGAGACGGGGATGCTGATGTCAGAGCGAGCCGATCAAGAGTCAGCCATGCGAGTGCAACGTTGAGGGTTGGGTTAACGGGGGGGGGAAGGATATATTATTGGGGGAGGCAGGGATAAATAAGAGGCGTGGGAGGGGGGAAACAAGTCAATCAGAGGCAGAAAAAATCAAATAAAGTCGGCCAGCGGGAGCCAGCCAGAAGCGACAGGGAACCTAATAAGACAGGGCGACACGGAGGCGGTGGAAGCAGACGAGGCGCGAGTGATTGGGGGATGTATGCGTTGGCAAAAGCGGGCGCTGCAGACGACATCATCGGAGGGCGAGAGCAGGAGACAGGAGGCTTACCGAGAAGAGAAAAGAGACACGGGAAACGGGAGACGGCGGAAAAAGCAAAAAGCAAAAAGCGCAGCTGGAGTAAGTAAGAGTTATTAAATACAATAATGGTAATCTATCCAGCCAGGGCGTGTTTCCCGGCCTGAATTTTGGGTGTTTCAAGCTGGGTCGGGAGAGCCGCTGCCAGATTCCAAGCTGATGCGACGGTGGCAGCCCTCTGTCACTCTGTCACGCCGGGGGCCTGACCTGGAGGCTGGGCTGGAGACAGGAGACTGGCGGCTTGGAGACAGGGCGATCGATCTGGCGAGACAGGCTGAAGGGGAGAGGAGCAGAGTCTGGGGACGGGGGGGACGGTGATTGGCAGAGGCAAAGAAGCTTCTGCGGCAGACGCTGGCCGGTGAAACGGGGGGGGGGGAGACTCGGGAGAGGCTAAGAATAGGCGCGCAGGATACGGTGAGTGGACGGTGTTCGAGCAGACGGCGGGCAGACGGGTCAAACCAGAGGGCAAACCAGGGCAATTGAAGCAGTTGTTGGCTGGTGTTGGCTGGTGTTGGCCGGTGAGGTTGGTGGTTGTGGCGGTGGAGGAGGAAGCTCAGCGTTTCATTGGGGGGGGACGGCGAATCGGAGTGCGGCTCTGCTAAGCGAGGGCTAGTAGTTGGCCAATGAGGGGAGAGCAGTCAGGTGATAGTCAGGTGATGTATCATGTGATACTAATCATGTGATGAGTTAGTCAGCCATTCTGCGCCCACAAACATCTCATCACTGGCTGGATGGTGTAGTTGGTTATCACGTATCGCTCACATCTCTCGATGTCCCGATAAGGTCCTGGGATCGAACCCCAGTCTAGTCATTTTATTTTTTATTTCTCAACTACAAGAGAAATACAATGAGTAGAGAATAAACCCATAGCCAGTAAACATCCATCAGCCCTTTGTCACCACCGCCATCAGACACCCCAGCCATCCAGGCAAGTCCGCCACCACCATCCGCACCCGATGCACGCTCAACCACCGCTCCATCTCCCGCGTCGCCTCCCCTTTATCCCTCTTATCCCCCTTTTCACCCCCCCTCCCCCCCCCAACAATCCTCCCCACCGGCCCCGCCACCCACGGCACAAACATCAAATGCCCAACCGCCCCCGCCAACCCAACCCAATACCATCTCCTCCCCGCTCCCCCAACCACTATATTCCCCACCGTCGTCGCAATCGTCACGCTCTTCAGCCCTACCACCACCCACACCAGCCGGTGGAAGACGTGCGAGAACCACGTTGGCAAGACCTGGTCGGAGAGCTCCCGGATCGACGGGTCGAGGAATGCGCTGTTCATGGCTAGCTCGCCTGTCGCGTGCATGAGGCTGGCCGTGCTGGCGGCGAGGGGCGCCGCGCGGAGGAGGGGGAGGAGGGTGGCCATTGTAATTATATATATATATATATGTGTGTGTGGGGATTAGATTGTTTGTGGTATGGAGGGGTGAGTGTGTGGAGATCGCTGGGAGATGGGTTTGGGATGTATCAATTAACCCGCGTTTTGAGGACAATGGGCCTGAGGAGAGGTAAGAATTGGAGGAGAATGAGAATGAGAATGGCTAGTTATGAGTAAGATGGGAGATGGATGCATGGGCCAGCTCACCAACTAGATTAGTAGTTAATTAACTACTCCGTACGTAAACTATCTAGCTAGCAGGGAAGCAGGTGTCTCGGAGTCGGAAGCCCCCGGAATCTATATATGGTAGTATTCGATCATATCAACCCCTTTCCAGACACACAACACTCCCTAACATGTTTTCTTCCACGAGCTCCGGCAAGACAGCCATATATACAGCCTCTACACAAGCAGTCTTTGCTACCTACATTGACCTCCATATCTTAATGGGTTTCGGGCATACCTTCGTCCTTCCTCAGCATTTATTTATATGGTCTAATGCCCTCTCTCGCTGATATCATCTGTACGGGAATGCAGCAAATAAACCAACTCAAAGCACTGTGTTTAATTAACATCTCAACTACAAGTTGTGGAATGTTCCCAGATCAATCTCCTGCTATGTAGGATAATGATCATCTCCCTTCTAACCTGCAGCAGCAACACAGATTCCAGATGGTCCTTGAAGCATGCCCACAGAATGCATTGGATAAACCATTAGATCCCAGTCTGCTATGTACTCCCAAAGACAAACAGCAATCAGTCAGCTATTAGCTAGCCCCTTGCCGCCATGAACACCGGCAGTGCATGCCTGGCTGAGCACCCACTGCTATATCCAAGTTCTCTAGACCAGCTTCCTGCCAGGAGAAGAGAATCCAACCCTCTATTTTTTTGCTGTATGCTTCTCCTCCCTACTCGCGTCTACTCTCTAGCCAGTTGATGAGATGGATGGATACTAAGCAGAAGTGTCAGCAGGTTGATTAATGATCATGCCATGTGGGAAAATGCTCTCTGGCATTTCGCATGTAGTTTGACTCAAACCTGTTTGATACAGCCCTCTCTCACAGCTCATAGTGTAGATCGCCCTATATAATGATAGGAGCAGATGGTTTCTGGTGAGACCAGACCTTGACTGCGCACTCTATGCTTCATCAGGTGCTATTTGAGATTTTTCAAAGAGTGAATTACATAGATAGTCTCATTGCTAGGTAGGTTGTTTTATCTGGCTCTGTTGACCAAACCGGCTCGTGCTTGTTGGTACCGGTACCTGACTTGGGAAGTTGTTAGATAGATAGATACTAGGTATTTGTTGATTATGTGCAGGATTTGGATCAACATGGACTTGTATTGGTATATCCATGGCGTGTGAGATTCCATGATAAGAGTCATTATGGGTTATAGTGAATAGATTGGTTGTGTGAGTTATGCAGGCAAGCTGTGTGAAATGGGTACAATGGGGTGTTGAATGTTGCATATTGACATCTGTGTTGATGGAGGGGGGGGGGTTGTATTTCAAGGTGTTGATTGCTAGCCCCTGGATTTCAACACAGAACTGGTCCAATTGATAGTTAATGAATGACACTGGCTGGCCAGTAACACATACTGCCCTTATTAGTCGTGGTTTCTAGAACTGATAGGCTTGCAGTAGGCTGCGGGGTAGATAGGTTTATGTAGAGGTTGACGGACGTTCGGAATCCACGCAGGATATCAACCTACTGCGTCTTACCCTCCTCCTCCCCCGGCGCAACCCCTGAATCTGATAAAGAACTTGAAATCCATGCAGCAAGCAGCGCCAAGAAGAATCAGCAGTCACCATTAACTGCATGGAAAGCCTGTTCTTGCACACTGTGCATTGTATCCTCCCTATGTAGCCCGTTGGAAGTAGGCCTCCGAACTTAGAGCTGGATGAAGTGGATTGTTTATGCATATGTTGTTGCTATGCATAATGCGCACCCGTGGAGCAGGGCTGGATAATGTTTCATTCCGAGTTTCCCACGGACCCCGCCGCGTTCCTCTCATAGGATCCTTCTGCTTGCCGGCTTATCTGATGGAAATTGCCGGATCATACATACATTCCATACATACGTACACCCCACCATGGATACGCGTATTGTATGTCCGTATGGTATGATGTGGAGTATGGGTGTATGTATGTTCTTTTCACCGTTTCAAAAATTTCCTCACCTCCACACTTGTATGTATGGATCCATAACGCCATTAAATACTTACGGCTAGTGTTGTAAGTTACCCTTGTCCAGCCACGCGAATTTTACCGTGCTATTTGATCAGATAAAAATTTTTTCTTCTTTCTCCACTTGCGTCAACGGAGGAAGGGAACAGGGGAGGAGAGGGGCTGGCTTTTTGTTTTTTCTTGTTGTTTTTGCTTTTGTTTTTCTGTGCGTTTTGTGGCCCCACCACCCACACAACCTTTACCCTCAAGCTGAAACTGTTTGGCTGCCCCATACATGATACAACAAAACTGCATGCGCGCTTTTTCCGCACTGGCTGTGTGTAGCAGAGGGTGGTATGATGAGAAGACAAACAACCCCGGGCCGACCGATCGTGGCGAGGTGAACGGATTTCAATGCGCACCCAGGTGCTGCCCAATGCATTCTAGCTCAGACCCCCACATAAGTAGTATCGTGCGATTGGAGCCGAACTCGGGCATGGCGTTTACTCAAGCCGGAGCTGATTATTATCGCAATTGTCTGTGCGATTGCGGAATTGGCACTTCCGCGGGTAGATAGTCTTTTTCACAGCGGCCGGCTGAAGATGTTAGTCTGTATGACTGGGAACCTGATAGTTGGCGCTGGATAGATGGCCTTCCTCCTTTCTGACGCACAGAGGATGTACCTGCAACGTGCGTTGAGGGGTGGCCCACCAGAGTGTGGTCGACCGGGTTAACCCGGGTGGTGGGCTTGTCACGGTCCCCATAACGCAGTACCTGCTAAACGATCTGATAACCCACGCGGCAAAGTGGGATCCCTGGAGGGGTAAAGAAAAAGTCCCACCACCATACAGTCCTTACCGGGAGACTGCCATGCAGCCGTGGAGTGGCCCAATTGATAAAATTTTTAATCTTATCTGATTTTGATGGTCCGTGGGAAGGATGACGAATGATCGAGACAAAATTGGGAGTACCAAGGGACAATGAAAAAAGCAAAAGAAAAACAACTCAACTGATCCGATTATCAGATGGATAAGATTAGATGTTCCACTGTGTGCCTTGTATTGCTGTATGGTAACATATATTACCGCCGCATTGAATTTTCAATACCATAAGATACACTTCAAGCTGGGTGGAAACGTTCTGTATTTTTCCGCTGGGGTCAGTACTATGAGGGAGGTTTTTGAACCGGTTGAACCTCGTGCTTCGGCAATGGAAAATGGAACCGAGGGGAGCAGCAGTATCCTTGGACGCGTTCTCTGCAGCACGAGTCTGAGAAACCCAGAGCGCGGATGGAGCCCCATAGCTGTATCTGACGTAGGGATTAAGCTGAACCCGAAGCTCTTCCTTCTGTACCCCCTTTGATGCATCCATCTTTTTGGGCAACTGAGTTCGGTATCTTTGCATCTCCTGCACCCTAAATAAAATTGTGATAGCTCCATGACAATGAGCTCCTCCCCTGAAATGCGCGACCTCCCACTCGTGCGCCTCCCTGAGCCATACAAGACAAAGTACGAACTCTTCCAAGCTTCCTCCGCGCCCAATGGACGGATCTTTCAGCTTCGGTTGTCCAAAGACCAGAATAACGGCGCCGTAAGCCCTCCCGAACCTCTGCATAATGATCTGCTATACTTTAGCGAATTGGTTTCCAGCCCGCAGGCTGCTTTGGCATCCCAATCAGATAACACCGCCTGGGCGCGGGCATGCCGCAGCCTGGTTTCATTTGTGACTTGGGATGGTGCATCAGCGCCAACCGTCGGCCAGATATGGACGTTAGTTTATGGGATCTTGTCTATAACGCCGTCTGAAGAGTCCTTCCGACTCTCTTTCGCCGGCGCACAGAAAGATCAGCTGTATGCAGAGCTCAACGCGACTGGGCTGTCCATGCCATTCCCCAGCGCTCCCAAGTCGCAGTCTGCAGTTCAGGATATCGTCGTTTCAAGGGCCGCCTTCTGGCAAGGCGCTGCATCGCCCTTCGGCACGCGACCTGCTTGGGTTCTTGAGCAGCACGGAAACAGCTCTCGGAAGTCAGCGTCGGACTATCCAGCTTTCCCACTCCAGTACACTCTGACCAGCAACCTTACCGATCGCCCTGTACATGCCCAACATCCTGTCCGGCCGGCGAAGCCCGCTCGGGGCGCACCAATTTATAGTCGATATATTCCGCATCTGGACGAATTCTTTTCCATGGACCATCTTGACTATACCAATCCGACACACCTTGATCTGTTCCACAAATGGCAAAACGACCCCCGGGTGGCA